ATTAATGATGAATACAAAACAAACTTTGAAATTAGCTGTCATCGAGAGGAAAATTATCAATGTTTAAACGACAATTGTTCCCTAAGTAGGTTCATTTCGTCACGTTACATAAGCATATCGCAAATTTATCTGTTTTATTCAGTCAAATAATAGTTTAATTGTCGATATCTTCGCGTTTACATTTAATTAATTAAATGTATTCATCAACATCGGCAGGTAAAAACACTGACTTGCAATAAAGTAGCATCGGAGTGTGTAACACGAATTAAGTTCGTGTAACCAATTCAAGCAAAAATCACAATTTAACATCCACAGTTCTTCTATCTATTTATATATGCAAGTAAACAATTTACCTAGATGATATTATATTTACAACATATGTTATCACAAAATGGCGGCAAAATTTGGGCGCGTTCAAAATGGCCGTCCGTTCTGCGGTCTCTCGGGCAGCTTTGGTGGGGCGTTCGGAACTGGTCGGCTACACAGTAAAAATTACAGTTCATTAGTAAGATTGATTATTCGAATATATTTAACATCATCAACGCAAAGAAAATATGGCATGAAATAGATAAAATTATATATATATATATATATATATATATATATATATATATATAGATGCATTATATATATATATATATATATATATATATAAAACTATTGAGTTTGTGCTAGCAAGATTTCCTTTGCCATATGATCTTTATGCTAAAGAAAACTCGGAAAAATAAAATGATGTGCCTCTAAAATTCCAATGTGTTAAAGCAAGCTGTTTGTGATAACACGACAAACAAAGCGTTTTTGTTGACTCTTCACAATAGCAACTGAATAAAATAATTTATTAATAAATATATATATATATATATATATATATATATATACATAAAAGTTGAAAACATAGTTTTGAACCTTTCATATAGAAAATATTACAAATGTATATGAACATATAAAGGCTTGTAATAAATATTTGCATGCTGCTTTCAAGTTATTAGTCGGTATTAATCCGCATTAAGTTTACTTGCATCAGCTGTAACTACTTACGCACGCCATGCAAAATGTTTAATTCCCATGTTTATTTCAATAAGATCTAAGTGAAATTCTTTATTACCGCATAAGTGGTAGTAGAACACAAGCAAAGCTTTCTTTTTAAATCTTATTGAAATGAAACATAAATCAAAGTCTGCTTACCTAATATTATATCCGTCGTAAATCTCAGAAAAAGAAATTGTTAGAGGGCACAAATTAAGAGTATCAAAAAAATTTAGAACCTACTGAAATAAATCAAACAGTTCAATACACATATAGCGTTTAATTACTCTATTTACACAGCATTAGATTAACAATATTCATAAACTATATCAAATCCAACAATTTCTGCCTATACGGTTTTCCGATAATACTAACGCTATTTTATTAACAAGAAAGAGAGAAAGGGCAAAATATTAGATGATTATCCTTCCATAACAAGATTGTTGCAAGACATGCATATAGAGGTGGGACTATATTGACGTCTAATATTAGGAACTCGGTTTGTTGAATTTGATGAAAATCTAACTCTTCGCAGGCTTTTATGTCAGGATTATATATAATATAGATTATATTAATATTAATCATGAACCCTATGTGTGGCGATAGTAACATCAAAATTCCATTGATTAATGTATGATTTAATAACGAACTTCATAAAGTTTCCACGATGAAAGAAACTCTAATAATTGACCAAAGATATTGCTTACAGCAACAATAAAAGGGACAACGCCTTTGGTCTCACAATTATAAGTACAATACAATTTTCCGTACAAATGTTTCTGTCTTCAATGATTCAAACATTGTTAGATTATTCCATGCAGTATTAAAATGTCATTCGTATTTCATAACATCGATTAGGCTATCATATAATATCAGGAAGATAAGCTTTAACCCATTCGAGAGTAAATACTTGCAAGACAATTCCCATACTATTATTTTATTTATTTTCTCAAAATCTAAGCTATTTGAACACCTAGACATCAAAGTGAGAAAGTCGCAACGCGATCTAATACTACAGTAATGTGCAGTAACATCAACAATTACTTCGATCTGTTAACGTGGCGTGAACATCACTAAGCCTAGCACAATTACCGAAACATTTATTGATATGGTAAATTTTAATACTGAAACGTCGCCATGAAACATCTTTTACTCGTTTTAAGCCAGAAATTTCAAGTCAGTTACGCTATTAATTTGATTCGATATTTTTTAAATATAAAATATTATTGGTAAAGCTGCTTAATTACATACAAATTATTTTTCTTTCTTTTTATCATATGCATAAAATATTTCAAATATCCTATAGCATTGCAATAACAATAATTCAAATACGCAGTTAATACTGTGTCCGTTTTACACTGACTACTATCTACCATTTAACAATTAAATTCCATTATATCTCATAGTTTGGAATGTTAAAATAAGTTAATTAATTATATTGTTATATTGAAACTATATCGTTGGTAATAGCATAATATACATATATTTATAAATGAAAGCTGTTATAGGCGTTGATGCAAAAATACTCACAAAGCACTGTTTGTTTTTCAAAGAAAATATGTGTGTGATCTTCGTTTAGAGTTCATTATTTGAGCAAAGAATATTATCACTTGGTTCTGGGCATAAACAGAGTCCAATTTTACACAAACAATAGTTTTTTTGTGTCATTATAAACCAAATATAAATTTAATTACACTATGGTAACATTGTTTTACTCTCTTATCACACTGGCTCTAAAATCTGAACATCTCATCTCAGAATAAATTAAAAACATAAAACTTTAGAGCACACAGGATCCACGCTATCATAGGCTAAGTAACACAAAACTTTATAGTCTGAAGTAAAATTAGAATAAGTATTCATTTTTATATTTCATCAAAAGTTTGCATAACTCAACCCATTTAACAATAAGTTGTTATTAGATTAACGATTTAAATTTTACAAATAATTTTTGACACATAACAGAAGAAGCGTTATCGTTGTAATGTTAGGAACACAGACATTAATAAGCTGACACTATGAGCACGTTCAATAGAGGACATAGAAACGCACACTGGTTAAAACAGTTCTTTTCAATAGCGATATTGCTCACACAGAATGGTAAGGGAAAATTATCACATATTATAAGAGACAAAGCATCCAAACGGGTCACACAAATTGCTGTGGCGGCGTTGCCTGGATGTAAACTATACAGCCAGCTTTCGAATGCGACAAATGAACGTAGTGCAGGGGCCAATGCGACACGAGAGGCACGGACGCAACAAGCGATCGCTAGCTTGCGGTAATCCACGCAAGCGTGCGTTCACAAGTGCGTAATAAGAGCATCCACTCGCTGCCATATATATACTCAGAGCCACCCCCCTCGCACATGTGTGTTCGTACCACCTATGTGTCGACACCACATTTGCGTTAGCACCGCATGTGCACTCGCATCATATGTGCGTACACACCACATGAGCGTACACACCACATGTATGTACACAACACATGTGCGTACACGCCACATGTGCGTACACACCACATGTGCGTACACAACACATGTGCATACACACCACATGTGCGTGCACACCACATGTGTGTACACATCACATGTGCGTACACAACACATGTGCATACACACCACATGTGCGTGCACACCACATGTGTGTACACATCACATGTGCGTTCGCCGCTGCGTGCCGTAAGCGACGCCTGCGTGCGTTCGTCCGCCCGCCTCGTTCGGTAAGCGATTACAATGCTCTGCGTGCCGACACTGCTCTGTGCTGTTTACTTGAATCTGGCGAAGGCGGAGCTGAGCTCGCTGATTGCCGCGTTGGTGACCGCCTGGCCTACCGCCTGGTTGATCTGCTGGCGCATGTGCGGCGGCAGCTGACCCATCGCGGACGCGGCGCCAGCACTCCCGGGTCGCCTAGTGATTTTTGGTCCACTTTACAAATTGATCACTCGTGCCCATCGTTGCGAATGGGACGGAGGCATGTAAACTTTTTCTCGCATCGAAATTAAACCTGCAGTGGTACGTTTTAGATATTTCTCTCACAGCTTCTCTGTAAGACAGACACGCCCGTGTAATGTAACCGCCATAATTCGCAAATAGCAATGCAACTCTTACAGGGCAACTGCGAATATAATACATGTCACAACTTTTAAACTAACGATTATTTTGTTTGTTATATTTAGAAATTAAGCATAAATAATAAACTAATACAACTATTGTTGGAACTCAGTAATAAAGGTAGTTTGCATAGAAGACCACACACAAAAACGTTAGCTAAACATGCAGTGCTTTTTTCACAAAAAAAAAACATTTTTTTAATAATCAGTACTTATCCACTTCACTAATTTTTAAAATAACTTGTACAAATACATGTGCACTGAGTTAGAGAAATAATAAAATAGATTGGATTAATCCACAACCTCAAGCTACAATATGTGAAAAATAATATACAGATATTTTCGCAAATTAAATCTGATTTCAATGGCGGGCTACATTTAAGTAATTACGTATTAAACTAGTACTGCGAAACGTTAATCATAAACACTAGGCCTAATTTTTATATAATTTTAACACATATTGGAAGCAACGCTCTTACACGCCTCATAAGTATTCGTGAATTAGTAACGACTAATATTTTGTATACGACGTATATGTATAATTATTTATAGATTTCCCACACTCTTTATTAACTTAATACAGTCAAAGTTTTACGCACGTATGAAATCTTTTCATGAACTCCATCAATAGAGAAAGATATGTGTACATAAAGGTATTAAAATATGGAAATTGTGTAAAACATCGAAGATGTAGTTATAATGTTAGTTTTGTGAAAATGAATTTCTCGATGGCTTTATTTATGTATTATGATAATGCAACAAACGGTGGTGATAATGGAAGCGGTTAATAGTAGCCATTCTCAACTGTACTAAGTTAATGTGGACAAGAGTTAGTACCTTAGGTAAATATGTAACTTATGTTAGTTAGGGACACTCCGGGGCCGCCACTTAGCGCCGTCTGCGAAAATAACCACACACTCAAGTTTTGTTACACTTAATATGCATTGCCGTTTTAGTTTGCATTGAACGCCAATTGATCTAATATCTTCATGGAAAAGTGACCTCAATTTTTTGGTTATTTATTGATCTAAGTATAAGAATGTTTTCTTTATCAATCCACCACAACCTAAGTGCATTTTCTATTGTTAGAACTAGTGTAAATGAAATAAAGCTCACACGAAATTATTATGGCCGTTACATCACCGAAAAGATTGTTATTATTAAGGCGAAAAAGCTTACATTGTTATCAGAAATCCGGAAGAAAATTTATGTTATAGGTATTGATAATTAAAACTTTGATATCCTTTAATTTTAATATAAATCTCTTAACAGGTACTGTATACCTCTGTTAAAAAGTTTTAAAACAATTTAATGTATTAGTTATTCCATATAGAAATACATATTTTACTTTTTAAACCCTTAACAATTTAAACACATTAGTTTGTCATTTCATATAACATTGAAATAATTTAATACCCCACATAAAATACTCTGCGCCATTGTAATCATAAATTTTTTTATCAGACTAATAAGATACAGGTTTAGAGTAAATTTGTATGTATCGGTTTCTTTACTTTATTCATATTTTTTATGGTGTCGATTACGTCTGTACATATTCTTAATTTTACGAGTAAGAATAACATCAGCTTTATATTCGACATAATTATATTAAAAATCGGAATAAAAGTATCTGTTACAGAAACTTATTTCTTAATTGGATTGTAATGAAAATTGCTTAAAGTTGATCATGAGCTATTCTAGAGTACGCTGATTTATTTTTACGTTAATGTGAGTAATCACCGCCGCCAGGGATATTGGCAACACTGGACCGGAGGCGGCCTAGTAGTTTTTATTAAGTATAATATGCCAGATATGTTTGCTCCATAGGAGGATTGAACTCGCAAGAATACAGAATATTATTTGGCAAGACGTTCATCCAAACAACTCCGTCAACCGAGCAGCCTTCAAAACCTCCGGTTAACGAGACAACTGAAGCAATTATTATTACAGCATTACTACCTCATTAGGGCTAGCTTGCTTACTTTATAACATACGTGCCTCTCACTTCTGCTTTAATTTTTTTCATAAACATTACCTTACCATAGGATAAGATTGACAAATTTAATATTGTTGTGGCCGTCACACAAATATTAGTCTTGAATTAGAATCCGAATACAGCCGTTTTTTCAGAAGAGTTTTACACACAGCAAACACTACAATCCGTTTCAATTACTAGTAGCTCATTCAAGTATTAGTCACGGGCGGGCATCGAACCCACCGACCCGTAGAGTTGAAGCCACATGACAACTGCGCCAAAAGACGTTATTGAAGTGAAAACTTGTTCAGGCGCGCTGAGCACTATATTTTACGGGTATTGAATAAGACTGAACCATTACGCTTTTCTATATAACGCTCGTTCGGGTAAGGTCGGCTTGAGTCAACTAAGGGAACGAGAGATATACAGCAACGCATCATTGCTATAACCGCTCGGCGAACGTTAAAGCCTCACCACACGGCGCGTTGTTTTTCATATTATTATTAATCACGCCTTGATGAAGTTTTCACTTCTGCCGAGGGGCGTTAAGCACACACAACGTTTGTTGATGCACTCACGTGGGTATGAGGGGCGCGGGGAGTCCCTGCGAGGGGGCGGGGCGGGCCGCGGCGGGGGAGGGGCGGCGCCGCCCGGCCGCGACGGCAACGGGGGCGCAGGCCGACCGGTGCCCGCTCCGGGCGGCGGCGGAGCCCCACGCTGGCCCAGGGAACCTGCGAGGAGTGATGATCGTTAGGGAAACATTTCCCGGAGGAGCGGTACGCCTTTGGGACCGTCTCGAGTTGTTCGGCTCACTGTTGAACCGAACAGCTATGTTTGAAATTTTTAGCTAAAGTCTACCAATATGTAGGAACTGCGACAGGCAGTTAGTTCACGTTCGGTCACCGTAATGAAAGTTTCCAGGCGAGCAGATGGTTTACCTGATAACCTTCGCCCATAGATGTCTAAACAATATAACGGGTCACAGATGCATTGCTAACATATTACAAAAGTGTGCTTCGGTTATCATACTATCCAGACGAAACGTGTACTTCCACAGCACGCCGGCCTTCTGCGAGGCTCCACGCCGCTGTTCAGCTAGGCCGTTGTACTTCCCCGGACAAGCGTGCCCATTCGTGCAACACGTAAGCTGCCGCGCGGGCCTACCAAATTGATATTTAGCGAAACGCCTCGGACGATCTTCTCCGTGGCGCTGAGTGTGACGCGTACCTTGCTGCGCGGGCGTGGCGCGGCGCGGGCCGCCGGGCGACGGCGGCGAGAGGCGCGGGTTCGAGTCGAGGCGGCTCTCGAGCCAGTCGTTCTTCACGGGCGGCGGCACGGGCGTGCTCACCGTCGCCATGGAAACGTCGCCGATGATGCGCAGCGCCTCCTTGCACGCGTGGTACATGCGCAGCATCTCCTCGCGCTTCTGCGCCTCCTCCGGCGACTCCTCCATCATCTGGGACTGCGGCCACAAACGCATATAGATTAAACACTCTGGTGACTAAAAATATCAAGAGATACAGAAACCAAACACGCTAGGGCCACGCAACAGTGTTTATTGTTGCACGAATGGACACCTGTCCATCCTCTTGGTACATATCCTGATGAGGTCCTTCAGGATATGTACCAAGACCTCACAGAAGACTGGTTTGAAGTGGAAGTCTTCTGCGTTTAGTCTGGTTGAGGTGAGTAAGGTAGCCCACTTTATAAAAAGGCGGCAACGCATCTGCAAACCTACGCCTGATGTAAAATGATCTGTGGGTATCATTTTACATCAGGCGAACTGCCAACTCGCTTGCCACCTTCTCACATAAAAAAACCTCCATATAGCAAGCAGATAGACCACTTCACTAAAGTGCTAAAGTTCAATTCATGTCTAGTCAAGACATTTGTTTCACATATACCATTAAGAATCATAATTCTAATATTAAAGAAATAATTCGAGATGAAATTAAACAGAATCGAGCATTACTTCGCCAGACTTCACTGCCATAAATTTATTAATATTAATATATAATAATCCCTATTTTCGTTATTAAATATAATATTGAGCGGGTCGAATGGTTGTGGAAAATTACCTGATCGCCAGAGTAATAAAATAATATATAATAATGCCTATTTTCGTTATTAAATATAATATTGAGCGGGTCGAATGGTTGTGGAAAATTACCTGATCGCCGGATGCGTACAGATGGGCGAGCAGCTCCCCGTTGATGAAATCTTTGGCGTTGTTGATGATCATCATCATAATGGTCTTGGGCACTAGATCGCGGGTGGTCTTCGTCACTATGCGCATGTACGAGTCGACCAGGTTCCGGATCGTCTCCACCTGCCTCTCCAGCTGGGGGTCCATGCTGCTGGAACCGGCGCTGTCCGAGTTCTGCAAAACAAAATCATTCGCTTGTCACGCAAACGTTTTCTTCTGTCTTTTTGGAGAGAGTTTCTTTCGTGTGTTACGACGCGACTATCATTAACTCAAGCGTACGCTGTCAACATTAGGTTCATACTAGGCAAGTTGTCAACTTTCAGTTTATATTGATTCGGTAATCGCTTCGTAACACGTGGAATTAGAAACTCTCTCCTCGTAAATGTTTAGTTTATATTTGTATTGTCTTGTGTCTGTATCGGTATTCGATATAGGTCGTTTACTTCGTAAATTATAATGGATTATGTTGTCAATTGCAAGCATGTTAATACAGGGTATTATTAGACGTTACATGAGCAGACGATATTCCTTATAGAAACTTGAATGGTGTGTTTATGCTACCCAACCTGTTTTATACCCAGAACGATCTTTACCAAATTTTTACCAACAATCTAACAATCAAATGTAAGTACGCGACCACCATTTTCCTTGGCAATAGCGAAATATTGGGCATATATCTATACATAATATATCATTATAACATATATCATAGCAAATACATAATTACATTTAACTCAAAAAAATTAAAATTCGATTAAATGTCCATTAAACATTTTATCTTATAATGATTTTTTTGTCACGTTAACATATGAATTATTGTATGTTCCGCAGATACGGTGTTTCTTGACAATGTTTTTGTGTTGGTTTTTACGCAAATTACTAAACATAAAGCAGCATCTAGAGAACGACATATCTACAACAGTACTTGGCTATTAAAATACATCATATTACGACCAGAATTCAACCGAATTTATTAGTAATGAATGACTTAAATCTTTGCCTCGATTACAAGTCGTTATTGCAGATTTCATTCGGTTAGAATCAAGTCACAAATTTTGATGGCAGTTATAAAATTATTACAGGCGGCGCTTCCGAATTGCTGGCGGGATAAATAAAAGCAATGGTTATTATTAATCTGAAGGAAAAATCACCTGATGTGAAAATAAGCCTAATTCTTAGCATATATTTCTCATGCCGAAATACTCTAATTACAGAAATATGCTATTATATAATACAATCCGTATAAATTTGTTTATACTATTTTCATTTTTTTTTTAAATTTATTTATTTATTGTTTTTCCAGTAGGTATTTAGCTTGTGTACACAGTTTTTAGAAAATAGCAAACTGTAACAATGTTAATTGAACTCTCCAAATCTAACAATGCGATTAGTACAGCAAGTGCGATGAAATCAACACCAAAACCAAAATATTATATGAGCGGGAATGAAATTAAAAAACTTTATAAGGCTTAAATAATTAATTAATTTCTCTGTATATACATGTGAAATATTTATGACAACTAGCCAATAATATTAATTGCTCATGCAATTCAATAGCTATTGCGTCATTAGCCTAGACTTACTCAAAATCCACCCTTAGGCATTTTCAAATCCAGCAAACAAAGCTTTGAAATACCAAAGACTTACTTTCTTACTTTCTGCCAACCCAAAGGGAGGAAATAACTAAAAAAAATAGAAAAAAAAATAAAACATAAAATTCTAAAAAAAAAGTAGAAAAATATTTACAAAAACAAATGAAAAGAACAAAACGATATTGCTGCCCTGAAGTTTCATTTATTCCAGCTCATACAAGATTTGTTATAACCGTAAAAGCTAGGTGTTAGCGTGTGCGTAATATTATTGCGGGTGCAAAATGTGAACCACAATAAAATGATTTACTAGTTAGCACTTGTCGATTCTCAAGCCACATTGAAAACATTATGCATCTCAAGAGTGATAAGCTCCCAATATGAAACTTGGTAATAAACTATGTTCCACCTCATTGACTCTTGAAATTCATTTATGTAAAGCAAAAACCAACATTTATGGTAATGACTAAATGACTTCGGTATACTGATTTTATAAATCCTACTAAGACAAACCTCGTTTCCTTCGCCCTGTATAGCATAACAGAATAACACATTAATGTGTAAACTTAAAGATGGCAAAAACATTTTGTATAAATGACACATTAGATAAGTTAAATATATCAAAAAAATATGTGTACTATTAATGATACATAAGTACATAAAGTTGAAAGGAATGTAATAAAATAGAAGAAATTATTATAGAGATAGAGATACGGAAGAAAGAGGAAAGCTGAAATAATAGACAAGAAATATATACTTTGTACAGCATTTGTATACCTCTTCCCCGTTAGCAGCTTCTGATGTTTTCTCCGGGTACACACCGGCCCTGAGGAACGACGCCTTCCACGAATCAACATCATCTTGCGTTTCACAAGATAACTCCAGCTGCTTGTAATCCTATAACAGAAAATTCACTAATGTGAACAAAAATAAACATAACTAAAAAAATCAAACAATGCCTTAATATACAATTTCAATTTTTAAAAGAATTCTGTATTCAATAGAAGAACAGTGGAAACTAGCTTTTCCACGGAGAACAATTTTGGGTCGTACGAATACTTATACCGTGCTGGAACCGAACCCACTAACCGGCCAACATCTTAATCACAAGTCATTAAATCTCATAAATGCAAGTCATAATATTATATTGGCTCTTTCAATCCATTTTTTTTTCTTTTATACGATATTTTTAATAATTTAATAAGTGAAATTTATTATGATGTGCACCAACCAACCTTATAGACATTCCGTCCCTCCGGGTTGAAGAGTGCGAACATATGCCTCCGAGACATAAAGCCCTGCTCCAGATCGCGCAACTTGAGCCCGTCCAGGGGCAGCATGTATTTCTTCTCGCGCTCTTCTTCGTCCTTGTACCAGGAGATGCTCTCCGACGTCAGCACGAACCAATAATCGCGAGAGCCACCTAAATACAATAACAGTAGATATTGAATTTTAATGATACATTTTGAAATAAGACAAACTGATTTAAACAAGTTTAATTTGAATACAGGTTGGCAACGCATCCGCAACAACTCTGATGGACGACGGTTATCATCACTCACCATCAGGTGAACCACCTGCTCGCTTATATTTAAATAAATAAATACAACTTGAGCAAAAATGACAGACATAAGTACACTCCGTGCAACCAACCACATCTCCTCCGACCGCTTTCGGTTGCTCTGGCGGGACGTAAAATTAAACTTTGCCAATTATTAGACACGTCAAGAATTAAAATGTAAATTCAAACGCGATAAATTCCGCAAATTAGTTTCCATTAATAGTTAATATTGCGCTCACACTGAATATTTCCTTTTGTTTTTATATTGTTTTAAAAAAAAAACACTATTTTTAGGATTTCATCATGTTTCCAAAACTCTACAGCTTCATTATCACGGGCGGAACAAAAATAGCATCTGCATTTGTACAAATACAAATGTGGACACTTTGATATCAGTTTTATTTAGTGTATACAAATTAAAGGATATAAGATAATTAAACATTTAAATTAAAAACAATGATTGAATGAAATTTTTAATTGCTCACCTTTCATGATGCCGAGGTTGTGTATGCACATGAATCCCTTCCTGATGACTTGGTTGCCAAGTGTGCGGTGTCCAGACTTAACAGCACTCTCGGACTGGTTTTGGGCGCTGAAGAAAAAACAAAGTAACCCTAATTTCTAAATAATATATAGCGGTTACAATAACAGTGAAGGTATAAACATGATGATATATTATAATTTTACCAATTTTTTTATCCCAATTCGAATTTTGATCCTTTGGAAGTTAGATATTGCATCACTATTGTCGTCACTATCTCTAATTTTTAGTGTCTACTGCTGACTTTAAGTCAGGCGGCAGTTCACATGTAACTAATCATTATTCTGCTTAAGTCTCTACATTATCTTAAACGAAACATTAATTTAGAAGTTAAACAAAGTGAAAATTTTGTTGAAACACGCTTTTTTAAGATGTAGTCACAAAAATATTAAGAACAATGTTTTTAAAAAAAAATTGTTAGACTTAATTTAAAAAAGTTTTGAAAAATCTTAAAACAAAGTTTATATTAGTATTATCATGTAGAAACTTGTTAACACTATATTAAAATTGTCCAGTAGGAACTTTTTTAAAGTATTTTTAAAGCTACTCTTGTATAGTGCGGTTTTTAAATCAATAGGTAATCTGTTAAATAGACTTACTGATTGATATTGAGAATAGTGTTTAGTCATAACCATACAAGGAATGATATTATGGAAATCTTTTCTCCTTGTGTTTTCTCTTATGGTTTTTTGGTATATAGTCTCATATTCGTCAATGACTTAAGCAAATTGCGTACACGCATAGAACCATATTGTTCAGTGTTGTAAGTCTCGCATTATATTGAGGCCAAAGAAATATACGTACTTGGCGAATCCGATGAAGTCCTCGTGGTTTGTGTTCATGTAGGCCAGCTCGCAGTCCACTAAGAGCACCAGCTGGTCCTTGCACTGCTGCTCTCTGGAGCGCACGTGCGACATGATGATGCGCTCCGTCTCCTCGCGCAGACGGGGGTAGCGAGACATCTGCAAGAGAACATCAACGTTGGACTAACTATACCAGCCTAGGTAAACACACTCTTCAACAACTTCGGGCACGGCGCTCCCACCAACAAACGGTATAAGCGTGACATGGACATGAGACATGATCTTCGTTTTGTCCATGTGCATCCTAAAGCCCACCTATTGGCAGATACTGTTAAGGTCATTGATCAAAGTCCAAGGTCCTCCAGCGCGTCTGCCATGATGACAATCATCATCATCATCATTATCATCATCATCATCATCATATCAGCCACTGCTGAACATAGGCCTGCCCCATTGACTTCCACTTCGACCAGTCGGTAGCGGCTTGCATCCAACGCATCCCTGCGATCTTTACTAGGTCGTCCGTCCTTCCTTTTCCGTCCTTCCTTGTCCAACCTTGTGGGAGGCCTTCCTACGCTGCGCTTGCCGTCACGTGGTCTCCACTCAAGAATCTTTCTGCCCATAACTGCCATAACTTCTCTGAACAATGCTGACTCGCTCTGCTATGTCGGTAACTATAGTTCTTCTACGGATCTCCTCATTTTTGATTTGATCTCATAGAGAAACCCCAAGCATGATGACTATATCTTAGGCAAATTGAAGGTGGGTGATATATTCGCCATTGATATTACGTCCTTTCCATTCCATAAGGTTGAAAAGGCAAGGCAGAAGTGGAAAGATTGGAGGATATGACTTTTTATATGATCATATAACTATAGTATCTGATCTTCTTTGAAGTATTTCTTTTAATTAATTACCATGTAAGAATCCTTACCCGCTCAGTGCAAACGCGGACAACGTTCGAAAGCTCCTGAACGACTAAGTCAACGCACTTCAAGCAGGGTTCCTTTAGCCGCGAGATCTGTTTCTTTACAATAGCCTCGAACGCCATATCAGGTGTGAATAGGCCGACCTATAACAAAAAAAACGTACATGATAATAACAATACACTTCTACAGTTCATTTGTAATGACAGTTTAACTGAACTTAAACTCGTTATTCATTAATATGAAGAATATATTAACTATAGTGACAAATTCTTTAGTGAAAAATTTAAGTATGTGACATTTACACAAAATTACATCAATCGAATAATACATTTACCTATTTATGACCAAATAATTTAACATGGTCTTTTACTTGCGGTACCGAAATGATGCTTCATATGCAACCTACACTAAAACAAAAAACTACAAAGCTCAAACTTTTATTGCCCTGAGTGTAAGTTCTAATTTGTATGATTTACAAAACCATAATTTATCAATTAAATATGAAGTTACTTTATCAATTAAATGTAAGTACTGCATTCCATATTAATTTTTCTGTATAAATATTTGCAAAACACTAAAACCGGCCAAGTGCAAGTCGGATTCGCGCACGAAGCGTACCATATATAAAAATGGCTAAAAATCATGTCTGTTGTATGGGAGCTCCAATTTTTATTCTGTTTTTTAGTATTTTTATAGCGGCAACAGAAATACGTCTTTTAAAATTTCCACTTTCTTACTATCGAGGTTCATGAGATGGCCTGATGACCGACGGTCAGACAGACAGCAGTCTTAGTAATAGGTTCCGTTTGGGTATGGAACAATAAAAAAACGGAGGGAGTAAAGTCCATCATATTGAACGATTTATAAATAATTTCAATTTCCGTTTAATCACGGAATTAAAAATACGCACCCTGATACCGTGTATGTTTCGGATAGCGAAGGCAATCTCGCGCCGCAACTCCTTCTCGTCTATTTCCATCTTGACGATCTCGAATGGGAACCGCTCGTGGAAGAGCCTGTTGATCTTCGCGCCACCGGAGAGCTCGTTCGTATTGATCTGGGCCGAACCGGATCCCTCGATGGTCTTCTCGAATTCCGTCTGCAGCTGCTGGATCATTCTATTGGAGCGAGCTTTTATAATGTACTTGTATAAAGATAGAAGACCTAAGAAAAACCGCAAACTATATTAGGACCATATTAGGACCACATTTGCCACCTCTGTTAATGTATTGTTCGAATAAAATTTTAATGTGTCCAAGTAAAATTAGTCCGCGTCACAACCACTTAATAACCTACTCGTAGAAACTGAATAGTAACGTATCTCGCGACTATACCGCAACACGTAGTGGAAACGAGGGAAAAAAGCTATTTGGACTGCGGCGAAAGAGAGGGCTGCGTGGTGAAGTTTCGTACGCCATATTAGTTTGAAGTGTATTTGATTAGTTTGACATTTCTCCGACAGGATCATAGAAACAACTGCATGGAGAATAGATGCGGCAATCATTGCTTAAAACGCCAAAAAACAGAGTATATAAGAGAAGTTGCGATTTTCGTCGCCGCGTCGATCAGTTAGCTCAGTAGCTAAAGCGTTCGAGCGTGAATCCGGAAGATGGGCGGGTTCGAATCCTGCGGCGGCGAAAGATTTTTCGTCTATTTATCATCATCAAATTTTAAGTTTTCATGGTGCACTGTATAACTGATGTTACGCTTTCAGTCATTAGACTATTAAGGCTTCATCGAACGCGGAACCGGCGGGCTAGCCAGAACCCACGGGTTTGAGGCCCTTTTGGCATGTCGCCTGTGGGCCGTCGAGGTTCGGTGCGGACCGAGACCCCGATGGCCGTTGACTTTGCTTGGTTTTTTTTAATGTAAAAGTTGTCAAGCAAGCAAACGGTTCACCTGATGTTAAGTGAATATATGGGCGGCGGCCATAGACATATGCTACACCCGAGGGTTACAGATGCGTTGACAACCTTTTGGAAATTCGGCTCCGGCCACCTCAACCACCAGACGAAACGCGAAAGTATTTGTCATACTTCCACTTTACGCCGGTCTTCTGTGAGGTCGTGGTACTCACCCGGGCGAGCCCGCCCATTCGTGCAACAGCCGAGGCTGCTGCGTGGCCCTACCACCGTATATTGGTTATCATGGTGCACTAACTGCAGCATCGCCTTGGTCTTGATGGAGGGGTCGTCTGGGCGGAAGTGCTTGTACTGCTCGACGTCCTTCTCGAGGGCGAGCAGCTGCTTCTGCAGCTTGTCACGCAGCCCGGGCAGCGTGTCCCTGATGTGGTTCGTCAGCTGCTGGTTGAGCACGCGCTGCAGGTACGGCGTGCCCAGGCGGTCGGCGAGGTGCCGGTACGACGGGTGGCTGCGCAACCGAACACGTACCATTAGGACACATTTCCAAACAGCATTCTCTAGTACCAAACTAAGCGACGCTTGTACTATGGCCACTGGGTAACTGGTAGAAATATTCAAAGATACTTTTCTTTTAGGAATAAATACATATTATACATATTATACATATTACTAGCGACCGGCCACGGCTTCGGACGGGTGCAATGTATTATACATATAAAACTTCCTCTTCAATCATTCTATCTAGTAAGAAAACCGCATCAAGGTCCGTTGCGTAGTTTTATAGATCTAAGCATACAGAAGGACTGATAGACAGCGGGACGACTTTGTTTTATATTATGTAGTGATATAAACACCCAGACACTGTAGAAACACTATGTTCAACACACAATATTTTTCCAGTAGTGCGGATCGAACCAGCACCGGTTTACTGACCACTACGCCAATAGGCTTGTCCCTGGAGGAGGTTAAGTATCTTTTGAAGATTTCCCCTCGAATCACTGATCAATCACCCCTGCTGGACTAAACTCCTAATCAAAACTAATACATACGAACAAAGTTCGTTTGTAATCGCGGTAGTTAGGTAAGTCATAATATGGGAAAGGCATTAACACAGATGTCCGAATACTTTTGTCTTTATTCGACTAAACTTGAAACTCTCTCGAGCAAGAACGAAACCCATTCGCAACATGGCACGATGATAATTATATAAGGTAAAGGCAACACCATGGTAAAGACATATAGGATAGAGACAACACTATAATATGAGTGACTCGACTCTTATTTGTCTATACCCAAATAAGTGAATAGGTCAATTAAATGTGATGAAAGTTAGATTGATTAGAAAATAATGCAAATAGCATCGTTCTGGCGTCATCACTCTGCATCCGAAGAATTTGCTTTGTAATACGCAGAACAATGAAATGGACGGTAAATACACTAAGTCGGTAAAAGTGAAGACTTACAGGGCTAGTGACATTTACCATGTGCTTTTCACGAAGGCCGAAAAAACTGAAAAATACTTCAAAAATCGTATTTATGGCATATGTTGTAGTTTTAAGAGTACCCAAATATTTTATTGTGTAACAATTTAAACACAATTTTAAAAAGGAGGTTTTTTTTCAATAGGGTTTTCACTACCTCTATAGTGAAACTATTTTTCAAAAAAAAAATTAAATATTTCTGCACAGAAAGCGCCATAACGGCGTAGTATTAAGGCATCAAGAACTATTAACCTCAAACTATTAACCAAAAACGGTTAATAATGTTTCAAATAGAAGCCCAATGCAAAACAAATACTGTGTTCAAAACAAGTCGGATGAAAAATTTCAACAATAAAAGTAACGATAAAAGTCTGACTTGCACAACTTCTTGGATTGGCAGTAGCTGGACAGTTGCCGAAGTCACGACAGAAAGAAAGTGCACCCTAATCACAAGCAAGAATTTGCAGTATGAATAGCCGTGATAGTTCAGTGTCCGGGTGCTCGCCTTCAATTCAATATACTCGAGACTGAGTTCGATCCCCGGTGCCGGCATCAATGAAATTGTTAATTTTAAGTGCCGAATTATCACGTGCTCAGCGGTGAAGGAAAACATCGTGAGGTAACCTGCATATTTTCGAAATAATAACAAAAAAAATATTTCGAATATAATATGTGAAGTCCGTCAATCCGCAGTGGGGCCGCGTGGTGGACTGTGGACTGTGCCCTGATACCCTCCGTACAAAGGATGGCTTTGCCCAGCAGTGGGACATGTATGGGCTGATACTTTACTTTACTATAGCTACATGGCCGGTTGCCAAGGTTACCTGAGGAAGAACTTCCTCTCGGCGGCGAGGGCGGCCGAGATGTCCTTCCGCCCATCTATATCCTTCTGCGAGCGGTTCACGACGCCGATGTAGCCGCGGCGAAGCGGCAGCAGTTTGTTCTCCAGCACGTCCCTGGCGTCCGTGCCGTCGTCCATCAGGTCCAGCTTGGTGATCACGCCGATGGTGCGAAGACCTGGACGAAAACTCTATACGTTTATAAAATCTATACGTTTACTTGTGCTGATGCTTTCGCCTTCGGTCCGTAGACTATTAAAGATTCGTCGAGGGCAGAACTCGCGGGCAGTGGCGGATTTGTAGTCTTGGCCGCCTTAGGCCCCAGCCCATGTAGTAAGTTCCAGCCGCCCCTTTCTCAGCGCCCATACAGTGGTTTTTTTTGTCACGTTTGGCCGCCCCTTCTGCGCCCGCCCTAGGCCCGGCCCTATTGGGCCTTAGGGCAAATCCGCCACTGCTAGTGGGCTAGGAAGAGACCACGAGATTTTTATTCAAAACATTGTTCCAAATATAAATTCAAATAACTCAATCTCACCTCTTTGTTTTCTATGTATTTGATTTTGAAGACTTGCCTGTTGTGTCTCCGGAGTCCAAGGTTCCAATACCGATGAAATTAATGTTATAACTAAACTAACTTTTAAAATCAAAATTAAACCATATTTAAATAAATTAATTCTATGTGACGGAGTTCTAAGATAGGTAACAAAAAAAAAACATACAACCGACTTGAGGATCTCCTTCTTTTTTGAGGTGGGTGACAGTACAACCTGAGTAAATTGCCCTTAAAGCATATAAAATAAAGTCACGCATAACTTTCAGCTATCTTAGTGAGCACAAATCGATCCATCCATTAAAGGAATGTTTGTGTTGTTTACTTGTCCGTCATGCAATTTCTTGTAGTTTATTCGTAAAAAGGGAAAATGATAAATTGAAAATAAAAATAATACGTAAATTTTTCACTTTTCTATGCGGTGAAACAAAAATTAATGATGGACCATTAAGTAAAGTCCGACGCAAAGAGTAAAAACGATAAAGAATAAATTATGAATCTTATAATGGACATATATTAATTGTAAACGTCATGACTAATTAAAACGTGGGCGAGGAAAGATATTTACTGCCTTTTGATTCCTAATTTGGCTGTAAAATATACAAATACGAGAACACATAATTCAATCTTTTCTATAAACTTGTTTACGCATGAGAACCAAACAATCGGTATATAATAATTTTGCTTAATTTATATAATCCGACCAATGTCCATGGACAATTACAATATTAAAATAACTTAATAAAACTTAATATTGTTGAAGGGAGCGAAAAACTATTTTTCAAATATTATATTGGTTGGAATAATAGCTATTTTATGTATCATTTGAACTGTTTTATGTTATCAAAGGTTTTCCCATTTATTATTAACAAGTTTAACTCATCAAGTTTTTATTTAACTGTACTAGAGCAGAGGTCAGCTCGATGCGGTACCATAAACAAAGTCGACTTGCTCCGGTGTGTCATGTTGCGGTGTATTAAGTGAACATACATATATTGGTATACCTTGAGGGTCCACCTCTTTCGCCAGCTTGAGGGCGTCGCTGTTCGCCAGATCGGTGTTCGCCGGCGTCACGGCGAGGATGAGGCACGACTCGCGGCGGATGAACTGGAATATCATCATCTTGATCTGCTGCTCTATGTCGGCGGGCTGGTCGCCGATGGGCACCTTCGTCAGGCCCGGCAGGTCGATCAGGGTCAGATTGAGCACTGGGGACGGAGGTCGATAATGAGCGAAAAACGACAGTTTTTTTTTTTTCTTTAATTTGGCAAACCACCCACCCCAGTTGCGAGGTCACGCAATCCATCGATCAGGGCCGGACTGAGTACGTAGAGCGGGGGGCCGGATTTTGAGAAAAATAATCGACCTACTTGGAAAGGTCACGGAAACAGTGGGGATCGATGGTGGAGTTTGTGCAACAAAATCTCACTAGCCAAGTGGCTTGCTGTAACGATATTATATTCCCTCGCTTCTCGTAAATAAAAGGCGATGCAGATTATTTTAATTATTATCTTTAAGGTATAAAAAAATCGAAAATAATTATAATAAATGCTATTATTTTAACTTTAATTTTCTGAACATTATTTCACGTTTCCTAAAAAATATCACCGATATGTGTCGACTTTTCTTAAGTCGAACGTATCGGTTTCAAATAGTAACATCGCAAGATTTAGAAAAAACCTTGTAACTGTAACCCAAGTTCCCGAATTTGTCTATACATAATTATGTGATTTTTGGATTAAGTTACACGAATTAGCTATTTGGGTATACTTCCAAATTATTTCAAGGGCTACGAGCAAATGCACCGCGCCACCCGTTTGTAATTGAATTAATTTGGACAATGAAACTCGTCTGGCAATTGAAAGTACTCGGTACTGCTAAAAATAAATTTTATCAAAGTACTTTTTTTAAAAAAAAAAGTATTTTTTAAAATAAATTATGGCACACTAAGGGTCAGATTTATTCATTTATCCGAAACATCGCTCTAGTATGCATATTCTTTTAAACCTAAAAAAAAAAACACTGCATTGACCTAAAACAGAAATTTCTTCTAAGACACCGAGTGCTCTATATTAAACCAATGGTACGCATTATATTATTAAACTGTTTGATTGTGTATTAGGATTTAAAGAGAGACTAGTAATATATAAAATAAAATAAGGGCTTAAACAGAAATACTGCCATTAAGAGACACTCAAGTCAAATTTCCGCAGGTTGCAGGAATCAAATAGATAATTATGAGTAGATAAGATAATAAAACACTGAATATAATAAGATAATAAAGCACTGAAAAGGGCTATTTTATACATCTCTTCAAATGTAATAAATAATTTCTCTATCTAAATACGCTTAGTAAACTCCTTCACATGTTCGCGGTAAAGTTAAGATCCTTTTAGTACAGAGTTGTTGGTATGAAGACATTGTTCCCCGACGTGAGATTGCCTTTGCACATCTTTGAAGAATTTTATTGTTTCTCGGACACAATTTCTTTAGATATCTTCCTTCCCGCCAACTAGGTAATAAATAAGCAATTTGAATTGCAATCGCAATGATTTTTGCGAGTAAGACATCATAAAAACCGTTTGCGCCTACCTCCGGATTCAAACTGGCGACTTAATATTGCAAGTCCGGATACGGAGCCGCCTACAATCCAATTCAACAATAGATATTATAGAAACGCTAAATTAATTAGTGTACCGATAATGTTATCAAAGTGCTGCAAATGTATGATTATTATCACGAAAATATATCGGTCACAATTTTTTCATCAAACAATGTGTTTTGTGATAAAACATCGAAAACTTTTGCCGCAAACGGTCCGAATTTAATTTACATATCAACATTGGATAGGAACATACGCGAACAGTAGAATTGTAAGAAAATTGTGGAAACTTCTTAATTCTTTAACACTGAGTAGAACAAAGAACTAACCTTTCATAGGCCTAAATAATTACATGGTGTAACATTACAACATTTACTTTACTTTAGTAATGTTAATGTAAAATTAATTAGTAGACAAAGTACACAAAATTCTAGCTGATTACGCGAAGATTTCCGAAACTTATAGATAAAGCCATCAAAATTTCGAAAAGTTGGTGTTCCAAAGAGGTTCGAATCAAATACCGAACGGAAATTATGAAGCAGACAAATATACCCTTATTAATATTCATTTTCAGCTGTAGGGTTAGTGCAATGTTCGAGCAATATGCCTGGAGTACTTTCAGAGACGGCCTCTCCGACCTCAATCACCGGATATTGTATTAATTGGCGTTCCGACAGTTGTTTTATCACGCTCTTATAAAAAAAAAAATATGTAAATACAAATAAATCGAAAACATATCGAAAATCCGATCGCGAATCTAATTCATTCACCGAGGACTTTCAATTGTAAATTAAACGATTGTTTACTTATTAATTAATAAAAGTGTTTCAGATTCCGGATTGGGTGAAAAAAATCGAAACCGTAAACAAAGCCTCCGAAGATGTAGGTCAATCACTGACTATAGTCCGCGTATCGCGTAAAAATTTTCCTAATCTTTTGCGATCTTATTACGGGCTAAGTAACAATCGGCGAACGTTATTAGATTTTCCTGCGCCGAATATTCAAGCGATGTAAACCGCGTTGATTTCGACCTTGTCCACGTCAAGACGTCTTAGTTTGTTAGCGGCAACATGAAAACACTGAATGAGTAAAAACTAAAGTACTGTGAAACATCAACACATTTATATTTTTAATGGAATGGTGTAACGTGGAAATAATCTGCGATGTTTCTCTGTCAAGAATGGATTTGATTGTTTGAAGTATCCTTGGTATTCAAATAATCAATCAAATCTCTACCTACGAATAAAATGGCAAACGTCGAAAATAGAACACTAACTAGTATTAAATATGGATCAACATAAAAGTTCTGTCCTTACTCTAGTGGTGGATTTAGATGGCCATAAATATCCTTTTATTTTAAACTAGCCACCGAACTGTCATTTTTAATGTATTTTTTTACCGTGGTGTGCAATATCGAATATTTAATAATTCATAAACTTGATATATTTTTTGAGGTTTAGCCAGTACAAAAATGTTTATTACGACATCACTTTACAAATCTTTAAATTTCTTGGTTTGTCTCTGCAGTAATATGATGCAGGTATACTAACTACATTTAAACCTTGATCTTGACTCACTGTATCTATTCCCAAAACTGCAAAAATTTGCAAAACCGTTGCATATTTTAAAACATCAAAACAAAAACAGCCGGGGCGACTTTGACTATGAAAAGAAAGAAAAGATTATTCTTAATTTTTAACTTAAATATTTAAACTTTGAAAGACACATGCTATAAATATATACAGGCGAGTAAAATCAATAACATTAAAATATACATTAATACATAGATTGATCGATAAATCTTTAAATAGACCTCTAAACGATCGTTCTAAACGGCGTTCCTAAAACTACTTCAACAAGGTATTGTGATACACGTAATGGCACAAATGGTCGTCATCCGACATAATTAAAAATTAAGCAAAACATCAACCTCAAGGATGACAATTAGTAAAACTATAGATCTCCCCCTCAACATGTTCGCACGATATTATACAGCATATAACATTGTTTCTAATTTACTATACGGTAATTATATCTAAAGCACTCGATGTAGTCTGATTCACTGTTTGCAAAGATGATCGGGAAGCCGTCAAACATGACATCATTAATGGAAAATTTTAAAAAAAAAGTTAAAATTTAAAGTTTACGCCCATACATGTTTGTACTAAATAATAAATTTGGGCACATTACATTAAAATAAATTGCGTAAGCTTTAAAATGCTTCATATTAAAAACTCTTAAGTGACCTTGGTGCCAATGATTTCTAGTCAGGCGAATCTAGGAATCCACATTATTATGGTTTACCAGTTGGAATATTGCATAAAAAGATTGGTAAATGATTGAGTCAGAAATAATTGTGTACCACTTACTACTTTTAATTAGGTATTTCTCGAGATTCCACATATTCTAGTAGTGCTTTGTAGGTAGCTTACCAAATATGGTAAACAGGAGAATTATTATTTATATTAATTATATTCTTAAATTCAATAATTTATACTGAGAGCAACTTCTACTTAAAGAGTTCATTACTTTTTGTTTTAAAAATGTGTAGCAAATTAATTCAAACATCATGGACATAACCAAAATCAAAAGATATGCAGATGGAATGCAAATTATTACATAAAGAAAACTTTAATTAGTAAAAAATTATAATAATACAATAAAAATTATGTTTTAATATTATTTGGACGTTATGACGCTGTAGATATAGAGCGGACAGTATGATGATAAATAATGGTGTCAATGCCCTGTGATATGAATAAAATTTAATTACATAAGACACATTAAGGGAACAATATTTTAATAAACATTGTTTATTCACTGTTTACATTATAAATAGTTAAAGTTTATTAAGCAAATTCATAATTGAATAAAGATTTATGTTTATGAAAGATATGAGATTTAAGACTTTAATTAACACATACATATTTATTTGTAAATAAAATCCAAAACACTAAAATATCTATCTGTATAGTATTTCAATACAAAATCATCCGCTCTATAATCATAAACACTATTTTTTATATGTATAATTGAGTCTGTAAGTAAGATTTTAATACATAAAAAGGGTTTGACTTATTAGTAATAAATAATAATATTATTAATCAGTCAACATAAAGAAACTTATTAGAAATAAGTGTTTTAATCAAGAATACCATAGCTTTCCTTCAAAAAATCTATAACAAAAATTCAATGTCACTTTTAATCTTATCCTTTAAACGAGCAATTCTTGTATGTATATATATATATATATATATAATCGGAATTTAGTATATGCGTAGAGTCGGGGGTGAAAAATCGATCTAACTAGGTTTCATTTTTAGAAAATGTCCTTTTATCCCTGTTTTCAGGCAATGAAAAATATCATTCGAATATGACAGTAAATTTCGCCGCAAAAAGAAATGTTATAATAGCTCGATCGTTAATGGGGCGGCCACAAAATAGACAGCCGCGGTTCGTGTCACGCTCTTTTACACACTTATTTTTTTTACTTTTTTTTCTATACCAGATCATTTTCTTTATTTTTTATTTTTTTTATTTCCAAAATACATGATTTACGAAAAAAAGGTCCTCCAGGTACTTCAATTTATCAAAACAAGCAATCTGACATAGACCTGAGAAGCCAGCACCAATGAAACTTTATTTTTAGTGCTGACTTATCCCATGCTCAGCAGTGAAGGAAAACATCATGAGGAAACCAGCATATTTTCGAAATTACATAAAAAGAAATATTTCGAAGATATGTGAAGTCCACCAATCCGCCGTGAGGCCGCTTGATGGACTATGCCCTAATATCCTCTGTACATTGGAAGCCTCCATCGTGACCTCTGCGTCAAAAGCGTCATAGAAGAAATCTCCGAAAGTATTAAAGCGTACAAGAAGCAAAACACTAATCATTCAAATAAGCTGGCAGTCAATCTTATGAACACCCAAACATTGGCTCGTAGACTAAAGAGAAAGATTCCCCAAGACTTTCTCTGAAAGGCACATGAATACGGAGCAGTCACTGGACAGCTATCCTGCATGCCTTTCTCGTCTTATACATATTGCTGAATATCTGCAAATTGATAGATTGTAATAATAACATTTAACAAAACATTGGACGCCTTGTCCCAGCAATTAGACCTATGTAGAATGTTACATTAGTTTACTTTTATGAAGATTTTTGTAATGCATACCATTTGGTGAGTAGACGCGCAAATTTATGGGCACAGGTGAAATGCCTTTGTTGCTTCCAGTCACACGATCCGTCTCTGCTTCGATCTCGCTGCGTACCTCATTGAAGTCCGTAAACTTTTTCCCCTTACAATGAAGGAACTCAGCATATTCTGTTGATATGAACATGAGGAAAAATTCATTTGAATATTATACACTTTCTTGGCACTTCTTCTGCTTCCCTATGCCTGCCCCATCGATATCAATGATAATAAGGATATTAAAATAGTACTGAAGAGACTAAATGGCAATGGCAATGAAGACACTACAGCCAACAATACATTGATATCAAATTAAGAAAAACTTTTCAATCCCAATTTCTTGAACACCTCAAATCATGCAAGCAAACTATGCACTGTGCTCACTTATAGTAAAAAAAAAGTAAAGTAACAGCCTATACATGTCCCACTGCTGGGCAAAGGCCTCCTCTATATAGAGGGTATCAGGGCATAGTCCACCACGCGGCCCCACTGCGGATTGGCGGATTTCACATATCTTCGAAATATTTTTTTTGTTATTATTTCGAAAATATGCAGGTTTCCTCACGATGTTTTCCTTCACCGCCGAGCACGTGATAAGACAGCACTTAAAGTTAAAAACTTCATTGGTGCCGGCACCGGGGATCGAACTCAGGTTGCTCGAGTATATTGAATTAAAGGCGAGCGCCCGGACACTGAGCTATCACGGCTCTATAGTTTTTCTCATTTAGAAGCAGTTTTTATGTGTTATGATTAATTCAATTTATAATTTTATTTTATAAATATTAACTAGTGATATAAAGTGACTTCTATAAATATTAAAGATTAGAAATGCAAAATAAAAGTAAAAGCACTGCCAAGAACTGTTTCCTCTAGACAAATATAAAATATAAAATACCTGCATTTCCATGTATGAGCTGTAGAATTAATGGCCTCCGAGTTACAATTCCTGATCCTCTAGGCAGGAAATCCCTGTGAAAATGCATACCAACATTAAAAAGAACATTTTTCGAAAGACATGTTGTTTTAAATCTTTTCTGTTATTACAACTATTAAAATTTAACTAAAAAATTTTATAGTACTTAATTACTACCTATTAAAATGTCTTAAACTCACTACTTCAATTAATAAAAAAATGTATAAATAGAGAAGTGGCGAATAAGGGTCCAACCAAAGATGAATATTCGGCTGAACATGCAGTCCAAAATGTACAAGTCCGAATGTCCGAACATTCAGCTGAATAATTCAATTAATTTTATAATGTTAACAGGCTTATAAAGAGGTCAACAAGTAAATTTACAATTGGAAAGGTTTACAGAAAAGGTATTTTAAAATTTAAAATAAATAATAATATTATAAGTATGTAAGTAGTTTTGAATAAAGTAATGACTATGTAACATTACGTCTAAAACTTTTTTCATAATCTTGATGATTTCCGCTACTGATGAACATTATCAGTGACTTTTTAAATGGTGTGTTAAGAATGTTTTATAATTGGTCCGGCTATGATTATTTTTTCTTATCAAATGAATAGCTTTTAAAAATTTAAATTAAATTATTTTTTAAATTTAAAAATATATTTCTAATTCAAAGTAAAAAAAATATTTACAAACAGAAATCTTTCAACTATTAAAAAAATATGCATATAACAATGTATTGAAATAAATCTTGAAATATTTTTAGCCCCCTCATCCACCCCCAGACCCCCTACAAAGGTGACTTGTTCCAAAATTTTACCCAAAATATGAATGACATTTATTTTTAATTTTGTGATTTACTCATCATAAATATGAATTAAACACAAGGTGAATTTTGTAATTGTTTAGATTATAAATACTTTACATCATTTTGAGTTAAATCTAAAAAGTACAGTTCAGCTATTTCTTAAATTTTTCTTCAAAATAACCAAGCCCTTGTTCAAATATGAACATAAAAAATATGCACTGAATATTTTTAATTGTCGATCATTCAGCCAATCTGTAGTATACAGCGTGTCTTTACCACCGCAACAATAAATTAACACATGTCTAATGCTACTTGCCAATAATCATAAAAAAATATTAACGTTAAAAAAAATCCATAATTAAAAAAAATATATTTTTCAAACAAACTAATTAAGTAGAAAAGAAACAAAATTTGTAACACCTATACAACTACATCTGACTGATTCATACATTCAGAGACTTTTTCATTCGTTACCAAAGCGCCGCATTACAAGCTTCTCCTTCTAACAGCAGTATGTTTTGTCTCTTTTACATTCATTCAACTCATTCATATGCTTTGTGACCTTTACAAATGAACTTTACATTAAAGTTTTATATGTGAGGGTGTTCTAAAATTCTTTGTTTTGGAAAATTTGATAACTCGTTAAATATTGATGTTTAAATAATGTAAATTTCTAACATAATTTTAAAAAGTTATCCTCTATATGTGTGTTCATTTATTGTTGCGATGGTAAAAACACGCTGTATAATTATGACTTTAATAAATAAAAGCAAAAATTAATATTGGTCAAAAACTCACAATGACAATAGCAGTGACTCATATATCCATAAATACATGATGCGAATAATGCCCATTGTTAGATTTCATGCTACAAAACTATCCTAAGTCAATATACAGTCAAAAAAAGTAGTAAAAATCAGTTTAAATTACCAGGTTTAAAAATAAAATTTTTCTTGGGAAAATGATTACATTTGCTTTCCACAATATTTTATAACTTCGTATGAGTACAAATTGTAAAAGATGCATCAGGCATAAGTAAAATTATCTATTCAGTTTATATTTTTTATTCAAATTAAATATGTTAATTCGTATAATTTATGTGTATGTCACAAAAATATTAAGTTAATATATACATATCACCGAGTATTAACCCTATATAAAATTATCAAAATAAAAACAATGAAAAATAGTGGCACCTAATGCTTATGAACCACATATTACATTCATATTTGAATAATATATATACAATTATTGGGATTAATTTATAGAAATAAAATTGCCTTTCTTTAATATATTTTATATAATTTTTATTATATAAAGCGTGAAGAAGACAGTTGCAATTTTCACATTTTATATTAAACAAAGGATAAACCAAAGAGAACATATGCCCAAAATTTTTTTAATAAATTAGGGAAGCAAGTATCTCCAATATCTTTATTTTCGGGGCTTACCTGCCGACAAAATTTTCTAGTACTGAACTTTTTCCTGCAGATTGACCACCCACAACTGCAATTTGTGGAAGATCTAAGGACATGTGCACTCCCATTTGCACGAATGCATCTTGTAATTTGTTTACAACAGGGATTAACTGCTGCATTCCATAATTCCCTGACATTTTGGCTAAGATACATCAAAGTTTTGCCACTTCAAAATTACTAAACCTTGTTCATCCTCTGTACATCACATCATCGATAAACTAATTTATTTTTCAATATGGTGGTATGTGGGTGGTGGTTATGGTTTAAAACATTCCGTTTAACGTTATTTGTTCTACCATTTAATGTTATAAAATTTAAAATTTTAACAGTTCCATTAAATCTAATACGTTATTTAAAAAAGGATATTTGCTATTAGATAAAAGTATATCCTTATTGCATGATCATATGATATAAAAATTTCATTACGCCCCTTGAAATCATTCCGTTAAAATAATAAATAACAAGGATGTTCTCCCACTACAAGATGTGCAAGATCAATACTATTTGACATGCGCACAAAATTTAGGCCATCGTAAGCGTTATCATGTAAAAACGGCTGTTTTCCCACGATTTAAATATAATTTACCTAATTGTTAGCAATTTTATAATTAATGTAATAACCATTACATTAATTATAAAATTAAATAATTTAAATATTATACTATCGTCAACCTATTTATATACTCATCATATTGTGGGTCAAGTCCCACGTATATAATAATGGACAAAGTATATTATACTGCATTTTGTGAATGCACGTACTATTCGTACGTAATATTAAGAGACGAATCTGTTGATTGTTTTTTATTATTTAAGTTCTTAAATCATTCACGTATATGCATGTAACGCATATACATTAAATTGAAAAATTTACGTAACAACTTTGGAAACGGAACTAGATAATCTGATTTAATTCTGCGTATACTCACTTGCCAACAAAATTTTCCAACACCGAACTTTTACCAGCAGATTGACCCCCAACCACTGCAATTTGCGGCAGATCCAACTGCATGTGAACACCAAGTTGGGTGAAGGCATCTTGCAGTTTATTAACGATAGGAATCAGTTGCTCCATTCCTATATTGCCGGTCATGGCTACCGGTTTCCTGAAATACTTCTGGTTTTATGATGTTCTCTGCAGATCTCCGACTACCGATTTTTAGTTCATCAATATAGTGGAAGTACAATGTGCGCAGGCGTGAAAGAACAACCAAGAATGTACAAATACTTATACTCTTCTGGAAAATCTAATGCTTTGTTATTAAAAATATCATATTAAATAATCACCTTAGCAAATTTCTAATTCTATAGAAATTAAATTATGCCTAAAATATAAGATGCTTTAGTTACCGATATATAAATAGTTATATTCTTTTTTTAAATAAATCTATAAAAATAAGTGAACAGTACCATAAAAAGGATTTTGAAATTAAAATGTATCTTTGACCTATTTAGCATTTCCTTTCTTTTATAATACTTAGTATGTAATTTATTTTGAACGCATATAAATGTTTGCATTTCTTTCCGACAGAGTACGCTTTGTTGCGTCTTTGTGACGTCACGCTATTGATTGTGAAGGAAGGAGATCGTCTTTTGGAGACGCCATCTTAAAATAAAGTGATATAAGTTTTGGTAGCGTAGAATATAGAAAAAATCTAAAGTAATCTCCTTTTAATAAGTAAGCATTTGAGCTTCGATATATCTAATTTCGTAATATTCGGTATAACGGACCAAGGTACATGTTAATTTTGCTTTTGTTGTTTCATTTACTAATAAAATTAGTTTGTTATTTACCGTTCTTCTATTAGTACTGAATTTGTACCGTTATTATGGTCTGAATCATTTTTACTAGTATCGAAGTAACGGGTGCAAAAATTAAATTTTTACTCTAAAAAAGTGCGTAGCCATCGATCTAGCGTCTGCTAAGTCCACGGATGTAACACGTCAATATAATTCTGGAGGGCAGGGCTTGATTTTTGCTCTCTTTAGAGTTGTGAAAGTATTAAACGAATAAAATAGATTTTGTGTATGTGTTTGATATATTAAAACGACTAAATAAAGTTTATCCCGAGTGTAATAGTGCAGTGAAAGAAAATATTAAGTAGCTAGTAGCGTTTTGAAGGACAGTTCTTCGTGGTGATTTTGTTTTGTTACAAATCCGAGTTAAAGCAGCCGGGACTACTGATTGCATTTTTTGCAGTTGGTGGTCGGTGAGAGGGTGTTCTCCTGATGGTGTGTACATCGCAGCATGTCTGCACTCTCGACGCCGGGCGGCGGAGGTACTACGGCGCAGAGCAAGCCGACGTCCGGCAAGCAAAAATATCAGAAGTTGGACATCAATAGTTTATACTGTGCCAATAGGGTAAGTTTCAGTGCCTATACAGTTGCCTGCGTTTGACCTTTTTAGCTCTTAATAATTAGCTTTTAATAATTTTCTTTAAATGTTATAATGGTAATATAGTAAATTAGTACTTTGTAGTAATGAAGTACTTTCGTGCGTACAAAGTGTTAAAACATAGATTGTATAAAGTTATGATTAAATCACAGTAGCATTTTTTCTAATTACAGGAATTATTTTCCATTTAAACCTATGTAGTCTATTTCAGTTGATAAATGGTAACAGAACATCTCTTTGTTAGTGTTGGAACTGGAATTATTTTGTATTTTTATATTAATTAAACCATTATTCAATAAATCTTTAACCTGCAATAAGTTTACATATTTTTCGATTTATTTCAGAACGAAAGCTCTGAACCGTCCTCAGTCAAGTCTCAACTTAGCCGCAAACATGGAATGCAAAGTCTTGGAAAAGTTCCATCTGCTCGGCGTCCACCAGTAAATTTACCTTCTTTGAAAACAGAAACAGGACAAGATTCAAATACCAAGTAGGTTTTCTTGAATTTTCTAAATTTGTCATTAATATTTCTTATAAACCTGCTTCCTACTGTGTACAGTAGTTAGTATTTTATCAAAATGTATGAGTACAGCAATGTATGTTATAATATTGTAAAAACACTAACTTTTTGTAAATCATTTCAGCTCTGTTTCTGCTATTACTACAGCTGTATCTACATCAGCAACATGCACTTCCCAAACAACAGTGAGTTTTTTAAACTCTAAATCATGATAAATTCTTATTATAATTTAGAATTACTATAATTATTCTTAAATCATAAAGATATGTGTGTTTAATTTATAAAATTAAATTGATAAATTTATATAATTTGCAACCTGAACAATCTGGTTTAATTCTGTGTGTAAAAAAATATTTATTTCTCACTTTAGTAACAAACTTTAAATCACAGAAATTATACAAAGATGAATGTTAAAATATGTTTATACATTTTAGGCACCTACACAGAACAGTGGTGTGGTTGCGGGCACAGCTCCAGGAGGATGGGTGCCACTGCCACCCCCTTCCTCACCTCATTTCCGCACAGAGTTCCCATCTTTGGAGGCTGCCGCTCAACCCTCACACCGTTCTTCAGATCATTCAGCTGCCCAACCACAGCTACGACCACAAAGTAAAATTATTTATCTAAGTATATTTATTTATAAACTTAAATTAAAATAAAAATTTCATGAATTTTGGCATACAGGTCATGATGTTTGTAAAATTTCAAGGTCTTTTATTATGTAGCCAAGACAATTTTTGTCACACTTACTAGTTTTCCAATTGGAGTATTTAAGCTATAAATCAGTCAATGTTCAACTTCTATACTATAGAAAAGTGGTGGATTCATTAGTGCTGGGTTGACAAACCATTTTGCATATGTGTGTGATGCCAATGTTACAAAAACTTAGCATGGAAACTACAATGAACAGTATTCAAGTTTTAAATCGTAAAGGGTAGGTACTGGATATTTGGATAAAATATTATATTATAATAGAACTATTATAAACTTTACCTATAAAAGCTCTCACACATTCCTCCATGTTCACAATATTCTTAACATAGGATTTTGTGGAATGTCTGATCAGCTTGTTTGATTGGAATGATTGTACAATTGTTACCATTCACCTTTCTATTGTTAATTGTTTTTGAGTATCCTGAAGTCTGATAACCATATGTGAGAATATTAAGTAAATATGTTTTAAAAGAGCATCCTAAGTCTGTTAAATGTTTGCAAGTCTTTATTCTTCATGATTAATCCCAATGGCCCCACATTTACATTTCACAAGGACAAACACCCATATGCGAAACAACTATCCATCCATGGGTCACACAAATAGTTGTCCCATGTGGGAATCAAATCCACGACCCCCGACGCCGAAGCCGATAACTTGGCGACTGCGCCACGGAGTCATCCAACATTTAACTGTATTTCTATCTCCTGTACAGATACAGTATGTACTGATATTGTATTTGTTGACATATTTTAGATTTTTGTTATACACAATTATGGAAGGTTATTCATGTTTAGTTTGATATCCCTTCATGGTTGAAGCTCGCTTTTTGGGGTGTCAAACAATGGTGGAGGTTGGTTGCTCTCTAGTGAGAACAAAAAGATGCCATGAGCAGTGTAGAGGTGTCATTCTTAATTCATTTATATTCTTATGTTATTCGGTAACTTTCCCCAGTTATTTTTCCAAAGATTATTTTCAATATGATGATGAAATGAAAGTGGGTTAATTAAACCCATATTATTGCTTTTTTCTCTGGTTTCACATTTCATTTCTCTCTCCTTGTATGTTTTTCCTATACCGTTTAATTCTTTTGAACTTTCCATACTTTGCTCTATTGAGATAAAGGCTTTTTAGAAAAGATAAGGAGGAAAAGGTATATATAAGGCTTCATGTTAAATTTTTCTTAGAGTACCTTCTAATCATAGCAAGTTTCATTAATTTACATCAAGAGTGTTGGAACTGGTTTAGAATATTTTTTTTTTCTTTTTGTAGCGGAAGGCAGCTGGACGTCCGGTGGGACGGCAGGCGCTCGCCAAGAAACTACCTCCTCTCCCGCCGCCGCTCCCGCCTCCACGCCTGCTTCACAGCAAACGCCCGCTTTCCGCGCAATTCTGCCATCCTTCGTTAGTATTTCTAATAAAAGCATGTGTAAATAACTCTTTATGTAAATTAAAAGAATCCTTTTTATTAAGAGATTACGCAAATTGGTTTTAATAATTTGTTTATTATTTTACCTTACTTTACTAATTAATTTGTTCTTACTTAGCTGATGAAAGGTAGCACTGGCAGTGGGCTCGGGCTGGGCACATTGGGTAGTCTTCGTGACAACCGAGGCAGCGGCGGTGCTGGCGGTAGCAACAACGCAAATAGCGGCAATGCGAGCTCACGGTCAATGCCTCGGCCGCCCGCTACACCCCGAGCCGTAGAGGTTTTAACTGCACGTCCCATTTTACGGGATGAACAAATATCTTCGCTCGACGACATTTCTCGTGATGCAGGATGGGCTCAACACGACGATATTGATTACGAGTAAATAATGCTGTATAATATGTAAGATATTTATTACTTACTATCGTTTTCTAATGTTTTTTTTATAATTTTTAGTCAAAAATTGGATTTTTCGGATGGTGAATCTGCTCCGACAAGTAAATCCAGTAACAAAAATAGTAGCAGCCGTGCTAGTATAGATAATGAGCGTATGGATCCAAAGATTCAGGATGGTGATGAAGATCAATTATGGGCCGAGAGGCGACAAAAACAAAACAATGAGGTAGCACAAGCTGTTGCACGAGCACGGCAACGTAAAGAGGAAGAGCAGAGACGTCAAATGCGTGATATGACAACTCCAAATCAACTTTCTAAGGAAAATCGTAATGCAGATCACAAGGGAGAGCGTATTGACAAGGATCACAGGGACAGGGATTCTAATTCAAGAGAAAAAGAAAGACTAGAAAATAGAGAACGGGAACGGGTAGATAACAGGGAAAAAGACCGAATGGACATTCGTGATAGGGACACAAGAGATAAAGAACGAGGAGATGTACGAGACAGGGAACGTATAGATACTAGAGATCGTGACCGCAATGACAACAGAGATCGAGATCGCGAATGTAACGATAATAGGGATCGATTTGAAACTCGTGACAGGGTACGCGATTCGGACAGGGAAAGACATGACAACCGTGACAGAAATAGAAACGACAACAGGGAGCGTCCAGATAATGATAAGGATCGATTAGACGCGCGCGACCGAGATCGTAATGACACTAGGGATCGTATAGATCGCGACAGGTTTGATAGAGATAGGGAGCGTGGCGATAGAGAGCGTGATCGGGACCGAGAGCGTGATCGTGATCGTGACCGTGACCGAGACCGAGAACGTGATCGTGATCGGGACCGTGGAGACCGAGACCGAGGAGACCGTGATCGGCCCGATAGGGACAGATCGGACCGTGATCGCGATTTTAGAGAACGAGATTACGGACGGGATCGAGATCAAGCAAACAGCGCGTTCTCTAAAAATTTTCAGGCTAATATACCACCACGCTTCTTGAAACAGCAACAGCAACAAAATCGTCAGCAAGAGGAACAGCATAAGGGATGGGCATTTACAGGCAAAGCGGCGCCCAGACGCCAAGACCCGCCTTCTTATAACGCCCCGCGCCATGCTGGTCATAGCGGTCGTCGATCTTATTCCAGGTAAAGTAAATAAACATTTTCTTCAGGTTGCTTTTATTTTAATTGAAAAAAAAACTGATTTAAGTTTGATGTAAGCCTTTTTCCATTGCAATATATTTTATAATTAACTAATTTAGAAAATTAAAGCTGTCAAACGATAATAAATTTTCTTCTTTTAAAAACATGTTCATGACTTTCAGGGACTATTCTGATCGTGAAGATGAATTACGCAGAGATAAAGAATCAACAGGACCTCAGTGGCGATCTGAAATGCAAGATTATGAAAAGAGTAACCGAGAAATGGACAAGTCAAGTTCTAAAGAGTATGATAACAAAGATAGAAGGAATGAATCTGAAAGAAAACCGATGGACGGCCATATTGAACAAAGCAGCAGAACAGCTGCTGATAAATTAACTGAAGTGTTTGAAAGGAAAAGTATTGGCCTTGTAGAACCATTTGCTGCTGTAAATGTCCCTGTGCAATCGCAAGCTCCAGAAAGACGTCCTACGCCACCTTCGAATGTATCTCATCGTGAATCATCAGAAAAAGACTATAGTAAAACCTCATGGGCAGAAGTCACTCAAGAAGAGCAAACCAATTATTTATCTGCGAAAAAATCAGCAGAAAATGACGGCTCGTCGAAAGAAAAGGAGCCAGCATCGAAGGAACCTATTTCGCATCTTGAAAACAAAGATATTAATACTCCCTCATCACAAGCTATTTCTGGTCCAAATCCACCCACAAATGCCGTACCCATTAATGTTACGGCTCAATCTAATGTATCACAAGCACATGGGAATAATTTGACTAGTAACCTATCAAATGGACAAAATGCAGCTGTAAATCAACTGCAGGCTCAAGTGGACTTTGGAAGTATGCAATCTGCACCTATTTCTTCTAATCAATCTCAACCTGCTGTTATTGATAATCAACCTATTTCTAAAACTATTAATGCACCTATTTCTATACCCGAAAATGAAAATCCTAATTTATCTGTTCCTTCTCAAGCTCACAAGCCTGTTGATTTATTGTCGCAACAAAATTTAAACACACCACTATTAACAACACAAAAATCTGAGAAAGATTTTTCGGAATCAGGGTCAATTGCATCAAAATCTAGCACAGATCCACCAGCTATGTTAGTTAAAAACAATGAACCGAAAATAACTGAAGCCATACATGGCAGCTCTGAGTCTCAAAAACCCGTAATTGACGATAAGAGAAATGATCGTTTTAGCAGTGAACAATTACACAAAATTCCTGTTAAAGACCCTATTGAAAGAAAATCAAGTGGATCAGGATCTGAGAAGAAAGGTCGTCGAGCGTATGGAGAACATGATAGTACTGGTTATATTTACAATCGTTACCATCCAAGAGAACCTCGTGGACGACGTTCACATCGAAGCTCCCGTTCTAAAAATAGAGCCAGCGAATCTGATGCATCCACGGATGGCGCACCTAATGCTGAACGAAAAGAACGTCGCCGGGCCCCACGAAGCCCTCGCGGACCTAAAAAGCCTGAGAGATCTGAAGGTGTGAACCATTTAATTGATCATGGCCCTGCAATAGATAATTTAGTAAACAGAGAAGTACCGTTTGCGCCTCGAGGGCAACCATCAAGACGTGGCCGAGGTGGTTTTCAGGGTGCTTCTAGACCTCCGGCTCCTGCAAAACGAGTTACTGGCTATGGACCACCCAATACTAAGAGTCCTTTCAGTCAGGCAAACAGGGCCAATAAAGATAATGATGACATTAAAGATAATGTTCAAGATGATCGAGGAAAAGGTAATAAACCACGCACTGGGTCATCGATAGGTAGAGGTCGTGATCGTCGCCCCAAAGGAGCTGGTCCTCTAAGCGGTGAAGACGAGAATTGGGAGACGACATCAGAACATTCCGAGGGCGGCGGCGCTGGCGCCGGTCGTCGATCTATTGGCGGTAGACAATCTGGACAACCACAAACGGGGCCCGGGGGTCGCAATCAAACGTTAGGTAATCGTCAGAATAATCGCAACGGTCAGGGAGGCAAAAAAGATGGGGGCATTGATGGGAAAAATGCGGATTTAACAGAGGCTATAAGTGATCTTAAGATATCGTCAATTGGTAAAAAAGACGACGAAATAGTCGACGACGGTTTTCAAGAAGTACGAAATAAGAAAAATTCCAAAGACCTTAGGGGACCGACGAAAGATGAAAATCAACACGTTTCCAAGCAGCCTAGGTCTCGTTCTAACCAGGGTGGAGGCAGAAATGGCTCGTCAACAAGAAACTCAAACGACAAAGCGAACACCCGCGGACAGGCCCCAGCAGCTGGCAAATCCAATGCGCAATACGATAGACCGCGCCAAGCGAATCTGGCACCTCGATTTGTAAAGCAAAGGCAAAAACAACAATTGGGTCTGATGTCTACGTTCAGCCCTGATACGGGAGCTGCACCGCCTCCGCCGACAGTGAATGCATGGGACAAACCAATCTCACAGACTTTACGTGGGAATGTTGAAGATTCTATTGAAGTGGTTGATAACAAATCAAGTCAATCAAGCCAACGAAGCACTCCTGGGGATGCGCAAACTGACAACCTGACAAAAACAACTCCTACTCCATGCACAATTGTTACGGAAAAAGCTGGAGTTTTGGATGGCACAACTCCACCTGTCGAAACTATTATTTTTGAAAATACAAACTACAAGACTGCTCCCCCAGCTGAGGCTTTAAAACAAAAATATCAACCTAGTGCAGCCTCTGCCAAAACTCAGGGCGATGAAGTACCGGCTGAGATGGACGCAAGGTCAATAACTTTTAATGGCGATGTAAGACCACGGCCGAGATCTATACAAGAAATAATGGCTGATAATGGTAGGCCAGCCACCGACACCGAGAGTTCTCTAAGTCTTCCGATGTCTTTTGACACGTCACAGAAGACTGAGGACTCCTCTGATATGAAACTTGATTTTGCATTTGACTCTGATTTAGGACAACTCGAAGATAAATCGGCTAAGTCGCTCGGTTTGCCACGCAGCACACATATGAGTACTGCAAACACCATCTCCCCTCTAGCTGCAGATCTCAATTTAAAAATCGCAAGCGTCAAAAAAGTGTGGGAGATGCCTGCTGTGGCTGAAGGTAGTGAAGAATTGCAATTTTCAGGGTTTGAAGAAACAAATACTGAAACTGGTGCTCCTCCGAATGTATGTAAAGTTAAACCAACTCAACAATTACAATCACCTCCTCCGCAACATTACAATCATATGGGATATCAAGGCGGATACGGAGGCCTATCAGTATCCTCACCTCCAGCAGTTCTCTTCAATTCATCTCAACAGTTGCTTGGTTCATCTCAGCAATTGCCACAGCAGGGTGGGCTATATGGAGCGTTTTTAGATCAGAGTCGTGGACAATTTGGAGGATTCCCTGGTACTCCATATGGGGCTGGTTCGGCAGCTCCTTACAATTACCAGCCCCCACCTGATATGTTCCAGAGTCTTCCAAGTCAATACCGTATGGTAAGATATTTTATTAATTAGTGATGCATCTTGTGTTGTTTTTCTTGTTAAAATATATATAGAGAAATTTTTGTATGGCATCAGGCGGCTGCTGCTGGCGGCGGAGCCGCATTTGGACAATCTGGGCAGTTGGGCAATAGTCCTAATACTGTCCTCATCTCCAGCACTTCCAACTCATTAATGTCTGCTACTGTTAAACCGTCTTCGCAGCAAATAGGCGCGATAGGTACGGATGTAAAAATACACATTATTTTATTTAGAGAAAGCCGAAATGTATATCCATATTATTTGTGCCGCCGTTGTAGATGGTAATATTTCATATTTTTTTTAATCAAGTAATATAAAATCTTAATACTTAACACGCACGTTCCTACTTTAGGCAGCAAAGGAGGTGGCGTTGGTGGCGTCGGAGGCGTCGGCGGTGTGAACACGTACCAACAGCAGTTTCTGGGCTATTCGGGGCCCGTCGGTGAAGCGCCTTACTCGCTCCCGGGCCTGTTGCCTCGACCTGCGCCACCTGCCAGCTCGTACTACTCGCCCTATCAGCCGCCGACTGCACCAGCGCCGACTTACCCCTTGCAGTTTACGCAACCCGCCCAATCGGGCAATGCATTTGGCTCGCAGTTCCTCACATCGCAGCTGCAAGTGGCCGCTGCCGTGCAGCAGATGCAGGTTAGTATCACATATTTATGTTAAACATAACTGATAAAATGAACCCGAAGTTATTTTTATATTATTAAACTATTATTAGTATTTATTAATCCAAGAGGTCTCAACTCTTAATTCTAAGATAAGAGTAGGAAGATCTTGTCTCCTTACACCGCGCAAAAATGTCATAGACGTACAGTAAAAATATCTGACAACGGATAATACGACAATGAGTTTACTCGTAATTCCACAAACGAATATATATGTACATAAATGTATAAGTATAACTATGAGGCCATGCTACTGAGGCTGGAACCTTTGACCATCTTAACTGAACTCTTTTTTAAGGACATGCTGCAACTTCAATGGCGTTATCTTCGTCCATTTATTTTAAATGAAACCGTTTGACGTTTCGCATATTTATATATTTATATATTTCCATTTTATGCACAAACTAGTACAAAGACGGACTTATGCCATAGCCATTTTCTGCCAGTCAATAATAAATAATTATAATATAGCATACATAGCATGTCTATAGCATATTCAGAATTTGAGATAAAATTAAACTAAACATTTTCGAATTCAAAAATATTCGGCGCTCTACGTAAACACGAGCATAAACTGGCCACCGAGACATTTAAACGCTAAAGTACACGCGCAACGCTTCCGCAGCAGCAGTATAGGGCACCGCTGCAGCAGCAGTACGCGCCGCCGCAGCCCCGGCCGCCGCCGCAGCCGCAGCTCAAGAGCCCGTTGCACGAGCACGCGAACGGATTCGCAACTCTGTGCGACGCCGCCTCGCCGACGCCGAAGGGCGCCGCGAAGCCGCAGAAGCCGCCGCACTCGCCGCCGCAGCACAAGTACCACGCGCCGCCACCTTCGCACACGCCGCACCAGCACCATCAGCAGCATCAGCAGCATCAGCAGCATCAGCAGCACCAACAGCACCAACAGCACCAACAGCACCAGCAACACCAGCAGCACCAACAGCACCAGCAGCATCAACAACACCAGCAGCATCAGCAGCAGGTGCGCTACTCTGTAAGCCGTGAACCATTACATATCTAACTGCTAAAAATGGGCACAGTGCTAGAGCTAGTGCTCTTTTATTCGTCAAGTCAGATTCATATTTCATTCAAGCAGAATAAACAACAGATTATTCTGCTTATGCTCTCTAAACTACAGAATATTACACTTTATACCCACTATCAATACTATGCCAATGTATGAAAAAGGGGTTTGCAAATTAAATACGTAGCAGTTATTATGCATTGCAAAAAATGGAAGAGACCTTTATTATATCAAAGAAGTATAATTTAAATAGAGTTACAATAGATACTATGAGATTATTACTGGATGAAGGAATTAATTTGAAAACTGATGAAAGTTTCCGACTCCGACCGTATACGTACGAGTACGTACCCACAGCGGGACACTATAAAAAATAATATACAGCGAAAATTCAAAAATATCCCAAATTACACGAGACGTTGCATTGCAGCAGATGATTGGAGGCAACAACGGGCGCTGCGGCGGCGGCATGTCGCGCGGAGGGCCGGCGGCGCCTCGCTACCCGGCGCCTATCCAGCGGCCGCACGCGCCCGTGATGCCGCTCTACCGCGCGCCCCCCGCACCGTCGCGGCCCCACCACGCGCCGCAACGCAACAACCTCTATTACCAGCACCAGCAGCGTAGTAAGTTGCCACTCGACTCTACCACATGGTATTTATTATAAGCACATGGTCTGTTCATTCCTTATGAGGAATCTTCATTGTGCGTTCTTGGAGATTTAGGGTCCATAGCACTGCCTACACTCTGACGTACCTTTGTGAACATTTACTTGTTTTATAATGTTTTTTTTTTTTTTTCATTGATCTACTTTGTAGATCCAACAGTGCAGGAGATTCTAAAAACATAAATCGGTAATTTCGGTCATGAAGCACTCCCATACATGGAACAATTATTGTATATACCTAAGCTAAAACGAAGCAAGCAATACCTATTGGTTAATTAGTTGATCATGTATGTTAACCATTGCCTATTCGTGAACTCCATGATAAAATGAGATACTATCAATGCATAGTCTAAACCCGGAATTATAATGTTCCAAGGAGTAGAAGCACTTGTAAACTTACCAGCCATGTAGATTATTTTCAGAGATTCACGTGCACCCGCTCTCGCTCGCAACTGGCAATGCATAAATAAATAAAGAAAAACAAACCCATTGGTCATTAATGTTTCAGACGGCGGAGGGGGCGTCGAGCGCGCGCCGGACGCGGTCGAGTCGGCGGCGGCGGCCGAGGAGCCGTCCGAGGCGGCGGCCCCACCGGACGCGCCGCCCGCCGCCGAGGTGAAGGCCGACTGATACCCGGCGCCCCGCACCCCCATATACTGCCACGTTTCACGATTCGTTTTCTTCTCGGTATTCTTAAATTAAGTCGTAAATTATGAAAAGTGATTTTAAGGTTATTTAAGTTCCGCGCGGTATCGAAGCACTACCCGTTTCGGATCCGCGCGACGTCGACACATACCGGCGAAGCGGCAGTTCGGCCTCACGACTCCGCTGGCCACCCCCTACACCCCCCGCGCGTCGTGCTAGAAACGCTCCGTTTGTTTGTATGTAAATATATAGATCGGACGGACATCTGGCTGTCTAATTGACTGTTATATTTTAAGGATATATGTAAAATCGCGAACGGTCGACGGCTTCGCGCGACTGACCGGAGTTTCGAGGGGACTCCGCGTCCGACTGACCGATGCTGCCTCGAGACCTCTCACTAGTGAATATGTAGCCACGATTTTTGCATAACGAATGTCGATGCAATATAAATAAATAAGAAATGCAATTTGGAGCGAAGGCGGCCGAGTGACGTTCTTTGGCGCCCGCTGACCCGGTGCGCGTTAGCGCTCCATGTATCATAATCAGTTATCATATGCGAATAAAATTATTATGACCGTAATACCATTTTTCATTTATCTACCTTGAATTAGATTTAAAATGATTTGTCTAATTGCAAATTTACTATGTAGATGTGTGTGGGTTGTTGATATTGATTGTACTTGGCATTTTATTTTTTCAACTGAGCAATTTGTTTATGTAGTCTTTTATTTATGAAAATAAACAATTTTCTGTTTAAGGTGGTCTAAAATTGTACAAGAAATGATATTCTATTTTTGTTATTAAACTTGAAAACATTATGACTGTAGCTAAAGTCACTGCAAAAGCTTTTAAGAATTATTTCGACAAAAAATTTTAAAATTAACCTTGTCGTTATAGTGAAGTTGCTGAAAGACTAACTTACGCTGCTGGTTACGATAGTAACAAGTATTTGTGTATGATGACCTGTACCAATTCATATTAGTTACCAAACTAGTCATGCTGTTGGTTTTTGTTCTTTTTTTAATTTGTAAGATGACTCAGTTATTTTATGCTACAAAAGAGGCAGTATTGTCTAATCAATGTCGCATGTGTAGGCAAAGCAAAAATGTTTTATCTTTCCATTACCAATAAAAAAATCTGTGGAAAATATTGAACATTCAATACTTACATTTTATTAATTATACTATATTTGTAAGTTGTTTGGAATTGATATGATGTTAAAATATTGAAATTTTCAAAAATGCAAAATAAGAACAGCTTATGTTACTTTGAATTAATGTAGTTCTTCAACGAAAACGGTATTTTTCAGATTACTCATTAAAATATTACGAGTTACTGATACCGTCGAGTCAGTAAGTTAACATAGTAACTGCTATGTAACAGTGTGGTAGGGTACAATCAGACGCAGGTATAGTGATTGAATTATATTTCAGTGATTTTTTTTCCTGGCAATTCAAAAGATACCATATTTCAGGGTTATATGATGCTTAAAGCCACGTATAACTAGTTTTTGGAAAGTCTCCATGGAATTTCTAGTGAAATGCATCTCTGGCCGTCGTCTACACTGGTCAAACTTACCCAAAGAGGTGTCACCTCTTTCTTCACCACCTCGTGTTGCTGCTAACTCTTCACTGGTTTCATTCAAGTAGCCAATCAAGGACCCCACCACGATCGCCTGTGAACCCTTATATTTAGGGAGCTCTATGCTAATGCTTCCTAACCCGTGCCTGAATGTCTTATGGCCGAATACTGAAACATTACTTAAATATGTAAAGGCACCTTAAACATTTGAGCAACTCGTAAACACTAAATTCGTCAAGTTAAGATATACGTAAACGCTACTTAGTGAAAATTTCGTATACTGAAACGCCACTTAACGCTATTTAGCTGTCAAACCAACGTCAAAACGATTTGAATAGCCTTTAGATCTGAGAGTGGTTACGAGGTCTCTTAAATATTTTTAAAGCTAATATTCCAGTGAAAATAAAGTCTCTTTCGTCAGTTATCTTCCCTCTCGGATCACGAATGTCATCGAAAACTCAATGATTTCGTAATATAAGGTACAACTTAACTTGACAAATTTAGGGTTTCGAGCTTCTCAAATGTTTGCCTTTAAATATTTAAGTAACGTTTCAGTATTCGGCCCTTAGGTAGGTAGGTTTAAATATACCTAAATGGCGTATATCTTGCATGCTTTATTGAAAGCTCAATAGAAAAAGAGTGAAGTACTTGTACGACCTGATGTTAAGCTGATCAGTAATAGTAAGTATTAAAGATTTATTCTTGTTAGCATGTACACCATGAGTAAGCAGCACTGCTTACTGTCGACAATTGTTCCATTGTTTTATAGACGGACTACATCTGCTTTCTCACTAGTATTACATAAGATGAATGACACCATTTACTATTAATAGCAAAAGCGGATTTCGGAGCCACTTATATGCTCGTATGTTGAACGTCAAGATGGTACTGCAGTAATGAAATTGATATGAGTTTAATTGTCTTAACTAATATTGGCATTGTGAACGTCCAGTAACTGAAGTGTTACACGAAAGAGAATTATCGGCCTGATATGATCCAGACTTTGGAATTTTATCATTTTCTTTCCAATTTTGTCATTTACATGCGTAAGCCCACTTAAAGCCTTCTTAAACTCCATAATATAGTCCAAAAGAAATTCTCCAATGGTACCGTGTTGTTTGATGCAAAGTCAACGTACATAGCGATTGCCAACTCGCGACAACTGCTAATAAGTAAACCATACGCAACTGAACTTAATAAAATACCACGCTCGCTTGCTTCAGTTCGAATTGTGTGCAACTTTCACTTTGCATTGTAGTAAGCTTCACTTAACATTTAGTGTTAGTTTGATTTAAATCGGTTCATAAATAAAATAGTTATATCAACTTAAAGAACCGCATTGAAGATTAAAATGATTAAATGCTATATAATAGCTAAAGTTGAATTGGATTAAACTATAGTTAACTATATATTATGATCTGTAAAATTATTATGATTGTAAATTTATATAAAGTTAAAAAAATAGGCCAAGTGCGAGTCGGAGTCGCGTGCGAAGGGTACCTTAGGTACCTTTTAAGTAGATATAAAATGTGGCACATGCGGGCGAAAATCTAGTTTCACAATACATATGTGACAGAACTTATGACCCGATTAGGTACAATGCCTTCTGTGAGGCCGTGATGCTACTAAAATTGCATTCCGTTCGGGTTTCCTCGGATGTGTCATAGTTTTGAGTGCATCTATGCACACGTCATGAACTACGGAACTGATTTACTGCCAGTAGATGCGGAATTATTGATCATATTTAAAATTTCACGACAGATAAATATTGAAAATAAACAGCTTCTCTATCGATTTCTGAAACTCTACCATCCATCAAAGATTTATTTTGAAAGTATAGAAAGGCTTCCTATTCAAATTAAAACTGATTAATTAACATAAAAAGTTCTCTCTCTGAAGTATAATTGTTTCATATACAATATAACGCTCACTGTGTAGTTAAACACTGGGTAGAGAAATTAGAAAAAAGGTTAATTCCACCAGTGGAACAAGAAACATAGTGGCATCGATCACAAAAAGCTTAGAAGACCAAATTAAAAAAGAGTTCTTGCTGTTAAATGTTCATAGTATTATGAATAAAAGAAATTGAAATAAGAAAAAACAAATAACATTTGTTGTTTAATTTAAGAAAAAAAAAAGTGTGTTATTCCCGTTGCCATGCTTTAAAGATGGCAAATATATACTACTCCCTGGACTGTATTTTTCATTTAAATAGTCTAAAAATGAATCGAAAACTTCAACAAATAAATAAAAAACTAGGACAACGTTATCAAAAAACGAAACCGATAAAATATCTCACTTTTTGTATCTTTGAAATCTAAGGTCCAATGCCGATGAGATTAAAGTATCTCCTTTCTAAAAAAAAATAATTTTCAAATTCTCTTTAGCAATGACCGAGTTTGAGAAACACCTTTTAGAAGCGGGTGAAAATAATAGGCATTACATGATATTTAGGCATTAGCCGAAGCCGAAATTTAAAACAACATTATTTGTTTACCTAAACAAATTATACAACACAATCATTTTATTGTTTATCTTGCATTAAAGATATTATCTTTTACCTTTAATTAATTCTCTTACTTATATTTAAAGTTTTGATAATTTATCTGGAATTTCTATGTGAATTAATAAATGTTTGAATGATATTACGTACTTCATAGAAGAAGTCAAAGTATAAAATTAATACCCTAATTACAATATTTAACTTCGCACTATATTTACGTTGAATGGCCGTTCTTTGCGGAATCTATGACTACACGGTTGACTAAGGTGTTCAACGTTTTATGTTTAACTTTTAAAACGAACAATTTTGTAATTAGTTCAACGGTAAATCAGTGAACGGCATAGGATAAAAATGAAGAGTTCGATATAAAAGCAATCTCGTTTGGCCGGGAGCCAAAGAACAGAACCCTCATAGCAAGGTTTGAATTTAGGGACGACATGCCGGCGCCATATACATAAAAGAATGTCACAATCTATAACGTGAAAGTCACCGTTGGTATTTTACCTCATACTGTTACTTTACAAGAAATTTGATAAATGAGAATATATAATTGTTATTCAGATTTTATTTCACGTTTCATTCGCCTAAAAAATAAATTTAATTTTAATAATAACAATAATTTGTGATGAGGGATTTTTTTTAAATATAAAAGTTAAAAAAAAATGACTTCGACACATTTAGGCCCCGGCGAGATTCGAACTCGCGATCTCCTGTTTACTAGACAGGCGCTTTAACCAACTAAGCCACGGCGCCGATATTTCCTTGTTTCAAATAGGTATACTAATTTTACATTTTTAAAAATGATTCAATATCATTAAATATATTACTCTACTATTTTTAAAAATGTACAATTAAAATTAAATGAGTGTAAAGAATATGTTATGTATATATATATACCAGTTATATATTTTGTACATATATTATAGACTTCGACACTTTTAGTATCGAAGTCAACTATACTTGATTTGTTAAGAAATTAGTTCAATATTCATTAAAATTTATTTAGAGTCTGGCGTAGGTCAACAGCCAGACAGCAACGAGATCCTTTGTCCGGATCCTGCTCCTTTAGGGGCGTTTACCCCACAGGAAAGTAAATTAAAGTCGTAAATATCTATATTATACATTTTAAAATAAAGTGAACTCTAGGTGTCAATTATACATTTTTTATAGTCGTTGTAGTATATGAAATAGATTGATTGTTAATTTTTTGGGGAAATCAAATAAGAATGTGTTTTAATAAAACTTTTGGTAGGTAACTTTTATTACAGGGAAGTTCAAATAATAAAATAATTAATCCAAAGATTTTTTAAAATT